TAGTGGGGATGAGATCTTAAGGAGACCAAGAAATTCTAAAGAGTTTCTCCAAGGTAAAAAGGAGAAAATAGAGCAGTCTCCAGTTCATGGCACAGTGCTTAGGGGTCAGCTGGATCTGAATCTACATGTGAAGGGGCATCAAACTACTGACTTGGTGCCAGAGGAAGACTACAGCAATCTGGATGTGGGAGTGAAAAGGGTAGATGACTAGATTTACTCACTGCCTGAAGATGTCAAAGCAGAGGATTTCAGTAGAGGATGCGGACTGTGCTTTGCAGAGTCATGGAAAATAGTCATCTTAGGTTGGACAAAGTAAGTAAAATCAGAGGGCAATGACAAGCACAAAATGTAAGAGGTGAGAGAGTAAAGTATTCCACAAGCATGCTGCTAAGCAAATGGCTAAACAGTAAACGTATAATTACTTAAAAAAAGTGAAAAGATAATTTTTGAACTCCAGAATTTACATCTATTTTAATAGTTCAAAAACCTTTAATTAACATTATTAATGTACATATTTGTATGATTTTCATTTATTTTTATAATATTACTTTAAAGAAAAAGCAATTAAAAATTTTTCATCAGAATTGAGAAACTGAAGACTTAAAAATGAACTAACAGGTGCCACATTCCTTAAGTCTATGATTGATAATGACACAGATCAAAATTATCTGATTATAGATAGACGGTGTTGATCTCTGTCCTTAAGACATAGCTACTTAGATTTTATTTTGAAATAAGAGTTTGTGTTTCTATTTAGAAAGTCCTTATCTTTAAGTAAACTATGGCCATCTTTCTGGTCCCATTTATAGGCATTTAACCATTTCCTTTTTTCCCCATTCCACCATGTTATACGTCCCATATTCTAGCCACATTCATGCTGTTATGAGTTGAATTTATTTTCACTAAAATGATATGTGAGACCCTGGTACCCAGTACCTCAGAATGTGATCTTATTTGGAAATAGCAACTTTACAGAGGTAATCAAGTTAAAATGAGTTCATTAGGTGGGCCCTAATCCAGGAGGACTGGTCTTCTTATATAAAGGGGAAATTTAGACACAGAGCCAGACATGCACACAGGGAGAATGCCACATGAAGGTGAA